AGATGGATATCCAGTTTTGCCAGCACCATTTGTTAAAAAGACTGTCTTTTCCCCATTTGATGGACTTTGGGCCCTTGTCGAAGATCAGGTGACCATAGGTGGATGGATGTGCCATCATTTTTATTGAGGTATTTTCAGTCTTGGGCTATTGCAAACATGTGTGCTGCAAGGAACATTCTTTTCCATAAGTGCACCTTCGATCTGGGAACAAGTATGTCTACGGGATAAATTTCTGGAGGTGGAATGGATGAACCAAAGAGTCTACTAGTATTTTAGATGGTCTGATTCCAACTCTCTGGGGCATTGTGGGTGGTAAGAGTGGGTCCAGGGTTCTGGCTGCTAAGCTGGGCTGGATCTGGTGGAGAAGCATCCTCCTTGTTCCCCGTCTACAAAGGGTGTCCTGACTGCCCATCTCTCCACAGGACGAGGGTGTCCCCCACCTGAAGTCGATGAGCCACCTCCCAAGGGATGCCCCTGAGCTGAGTCCCACGACTGGCCTGAGGAGCCCAAGGCCGACCTCTCCCCATGGATAAAGGACTCACTTTGCCCCAGGACTGCTGGGATTTTCTGCACAGCCTGAGGATGAGGAGCAAATATGCCCTTTTCTTGGCCTTCGTGGTGGTAGTTTTTGTCTTCATTGAAAAGGAAAATAAAATCATATCAAGGTGAGAGATGCAAACATAAGTCTTCCTTCTCAAGGTGGGGTGAGGTAGTGGCAGAGAGCCAACTGTAGGGCTCCATGTGAACCTGCAAATTCATTCATTAGGCAAGTAATTATCCAGCACCTCCGGTGTCCCAGTCAGTGGGTCCTTAGGTGTTCTTATGAGGAGAGGGTGGCAGGGCTGCACAGTGGTAAGATCCTGGGCTCTGGACCCAGGCACTCTGGGTTGGAATGCCAACTCTGGCTCTTCCAGCCATGAGATTCAGGGCGAGTCACTTCACCTTTCTGAACCTGTAAAAGGTGTAAAAGATGACTAATGATGTAAAGATTAAATGAGAAAATGTAAAAACATTTAGCCTACTGCCTGGCATGGAGTTGGTATCCAGGACTTACTGACTATGATTATTATTATTAATTTACTGTTTTGGCCTAGAATAATGCCTCACATTAGCAGCACCCCTTTACCAGTCTCGATGTCATGGGTGAGGGTGAGCCCATGGAAAGGTAGGTCCTGGAATGGATACCGTGGTAGGCAGGGCTGCCATGTGCAGCTGCCCAGGATGTGAACTGCTGAACCCCAGGGAGTGTCACTCACATAGGCTACACTGGGAACGCTGCACCCTAGAGTTGGCAGTGTACCACTGTGGCCAGTGGTCCTGCTAGTGGGCTTGCTGGACACAGAGTTCTTCGACCTGCCCTCCTCCCAGGCACAAACCCTGCAAGGAGGCACCAGCCAAAATGGGTAGGCTAGGGATTGGGCTGTGTAGCAGACACTACCAGTGCCCCACCTGGGTCTCCTCAGCATGAACTTCCAGCTCACGCCTACAGGGTCCTACAGCAGGCTCCTGCAACTTCCCATCTGAAGGCTGTCTACGCGCGCACTGTCAACTATCAGTGCCGGGGAGTAAATGCCTGTGGGAGCAGCCTTCTGCAGGCCAGGTGGGGATATTCCACCCCTTGGGGAAGACAGTCCTGAGAGATGCTCAACACTGTCTCCCACAGTTCCCCGGCCTTGGTTGCCCAGAAGGGTAACCTGCTTCATAGCACCATACCCTTTACTGACTTCTTTTCCTTCCCTGCCTCTCATCCCTACTCCTCTATAAGCTCTTCCTGTGATTTTGTCCCAAATAGACTTCTTACTCTTGAATCCTTGCCTCCAAGGCTGCTTCTGGGGAAACCCAGTTAAGGCAGGCTTAGCGTGATCAGTCTGGGAAGCTGCTTAGAGGAGCAGCCTGTGCAGTCTATGTGAGTGGCACTCCCCTGGAGTTGAGCAGTATGCAACCTGGGCAGCTGCACATGGCAGCTCTGCCCCCTAGGGTATCTGTACCAGGACCTGCCTGTCCATGGGCTCACCCTCACCCATGACATCGAGATCCGATAAATCACTGACCCAACTCCCTCCTCACAGGGTGTCAGACAAGCTGAAGCAGATCCCCCAGGCTCTGGCGGATGCCAACAGCACCGACCCAGCCCTGGTCTTGGCTGAGAACGCATCCCTTTTGTCCCTGAGCGAGCTTGATCCTGCCTTCTCCCAGCTACAGAGTCGCCTGCGAAACTTCAGCCGGCAGCTGGACCTGGAGCCGGAAGCTGCGGCTGAAGGGGAGGAAGACGAGGAGCGACCCCAGCCCGCTGTGGCCACGCCCCGGCGCCACGTGCTGCTCATGGCCACCACACGCACTGGCTCCTCCTTCGTCGGCGAGTTCTTCAACCAGCAGGGCAACATCTTCTACCTCTTTGAGCCGCTGTGGCACGTGGAGCGCACGGTGTCCTTTGAGCCCGGAGGCGCCAACGCCGCCGGCTCGGCCCTGGTATACCGCGACGTGCTCAAGCAGCTCTTCCTGTGCGACCTGTACGTCCTGGAGCACTTCATCAACCCCCTGCCCGAGGACCACCTGACGCAGTTCATGTTCCGCCGGAGCTCCAGCCGCTCGCTCTGCGAGGACCCTGTGTGCACACCCTTGATCAAGAAGGTCTTCGAGAAGTACCACTGCAAGAATCGCCTCTGCGGCCCCCTCAACGTGACGCTGGCCGCCGAGGCCTGCCGCCGCAAGGAGCACATGGCCCTCAAGGCCGTCCGCATCCGGCAGTTGGAGTTTCTGCAGCCGCTGGCCGAGGACCCCCGGCTGGACCTGCGCGTCATCCAGCTGGTGCGAGACCCCCGAGCCGTGATGGCCTCCCGCATGGTGGCCTTTGCCGGCAAGTATGAGACCTGGAAGAAGTGGCTCGCCGAGGGCCAGGACCAGCTGAGACAGGAGGAGGTGCAGCGGCTCAGGGGTAACTGCGAGAGCATCCGCCTATCAGCGGAGCTGGGCCTGCGGCAGCCCGCCTGGCTACAGGGCCGCTACATGCTGGTGCGCTATGAGGACGTGGCGCGCTGGCCCCTGCAGAAGGCACGGGACATGTACCGCTTTGCAGGCATACCCCTGACCCCGCAGGTGGAGGACTGGATCCAGAAGAACACCCAGGCAGCCCAGGACAGCAATGGCATCTACTCCACCCAGAAGAACTCCTCGGAGCAGTTCGAGAAGTGGCGCTTCAGCATGCCCTTTAAGCTGGCCCAGGTGGTGCAGGCTGCCTGCGGCCCCGCCATGCGTCTCTTTGGCTACAAACTGGTGCAGGATGCCGCCTCCCTCACCAACCGCTCTGTTAGCCTGCTGGAGGAGCGTGGCCCCTTCTGGGTTACGTAGGGGGCCCCGGGGCCACTCATACCCCTCCTCATGGAAGTCTGCCTTGCCTTCCTCACTCCCAGGCCAGCCGTGAGACTGTGGCATGCAGAGGGCAGGCAGGAAGCATGCAGTGAGCAGGGCGAGCCCCTCTGCTGTAGAAGTAGGTCCCATGCCAGCTAGCTTTCCCACCGCAGCCGGGGGCCCTGGGGTTTCTCCTTGATAACAGGACAGTGCCCGCACCCGTGGGGGACCATCAAACCCAGACCTCTGGGGCCGCAGTCTCCAGAGCAGGCCTAGGCAGGCCTGGACCTATGACAAGCCTATCACACACACAAGCACACACGTACGCAGACAGAAACATATATTAAATACAAATAATGCCTGTATGCCTTGTGGGCAGGAGTACAAACACATAGCAGGTGGGCCCTGGCCAGGCACTGTTGGGCCTTCTGCAGTGCCCAGTGTTAACCATTTAGTTTCTGGATTGTGGAAGTCTGAAGTCTGGGTGGGTCTTTGGGGAGGAGCCAGCACAGCCCAGGGTGTCGAGGAAGAGGGAGCATTTGAGGATTATCAGGTGACAGTGGCTGTTTACCAACCAGTACAGAACAGATGTTGATATTTTAATAACTAGTGTAACTGTGCTGGAGTCCCTGGTGGTGCAAACAGTTAACAGCTCAGCTGCCAACCGAGAGGCTGAAGATTCGAGTCCACCCAGAGGTGCCTCGAAGAAAGTCCTGGTGATCTACTTCTGCAAATTCAGCCCTTCAAAACCCTATGGAGCACAGTTCTACTCTGTCACCCGTGGAGTTGCCATGAGTCAAAATTGACTCAGTGGCAACTGGTTTTTGTTTTATTTTTTATAGCTGTGCTGGTGTTCTGATGAATATCAGCCCTGTATAGAGCTAAAAACCCACACACATATTCATAGAAACAAATACATACACGCACACCCCACTCACAGACATGACAGCATCATGGAAACCCAAGTCCACACACACGTGGATATATAGGCAAGCTTCTCGTTGCTTTATGCCCACAGGATTTCTCTGTACCACACACCTAAAGAGGAGCCTTTAATTATGTTTTTAGAATTATTTGGAGGGGCAGAGGAAGCAGACATGGTCACATGCCAGACCCACTTCCACCCAGTTCCCTGACCAGTTTGGACTGAACGAATGGTTTAGAACTGCCAAGTCCACGGTCCCTGCCCAGTTTCGATTCCCCCGGCTACCTCCTCTGACCCATCCACGTCCTCACTGCTGGCAGACAGGATGTTTTGAAATAGCGTGGCCAGTCCTCACGTGACTGAGCCCAAAGGCCCTGTCCTAGCTTGGCCGGCTCCAGGAGCTTGTCTGCGTTTGAAGGCTGCCTTCCCTTCAGCCTGACCAGCTGAAGCAGCTGGGGTCCCTGGAGGTGAAAGGCAGCCCGAGGCCCTACCATTTCCAGCCAGGCCTCATCTGGGGTAGGGCCAGGAAGAAAGTACAGCGTGCTCTTTGGGGAGAAGTCACAACAGGATACCCCTTCCCCTGAGAAGCGAACCTGCTCCCCTGTGGACAGAGGTCAGCCAGCTGGTCGCCATGGTTACAGCCAGTGTCTGGAATTCTTCCTTTAGGGCTCTGGGAAGAGTATTACTCAGCTGAAGCTGGGCTGGGTGTTTTATTTGGGGTTTTGTAAAGCTATTTATGGTTTGGTGTCTTTCTTGTTTGGTGCCTGTGTTTTCGGTTTGGAGGCAGCCTGGGGCTGAGGGAGACTAGAGAACCAGCAGGGAGCACTTGGGAGAGGAGAGGAAGAGAGAGGAGAAGGGGCGGGGAGGCTTCCCCAGAAGGATCTAGCTGAGGGGCCACGTGGCAGCCCACTTTGCCCCAGGCCTTTCTGTTTGAACCCCATGTGGAACGAATCTCAGAAACCACCAATGTTCTTGGTGATTGCCCAGAAGCAGCATAAATGAGTAGTCCTCACCCCCTCCCTGAGAAAAGACCAGCCTTGAAAAGGCCTCGAAAATCCCTCCGAGAATCCAGCACATTTCCTTGGGGGCCAGAGGCCTTGTGGCCAAGCAGCGCATCTCCCCAAAGTGGACGTCCTTCCCCAGTTCCCATGCCCAAACCCAGAGCAAAACTCAGTACTTGGCCCAGAGCTTGCAGGGAACTATGGACAGGTTCAGCAAAGGCTGCTGGCTTAGGGAATCCATTCAAATACTCTGTTTCTGATTTCCTGGACAACTTCTACATCAGATATGAACCGTTGTCAAACCGAGAGGGCTGAGTTTTGGTTTGAGTAATACGGACATCAGGGAAGTACAGGATCCAGCTGCTGTTGCTACAGGGAAGAGCAAGTGGAGTCCTGGCAGGAAGTTGCTGTTTGAAAAGGTGAGGACGGCAGCCATCTTGTGGGATTTGTCGTAATCAGCATGTTTGAGCTGCTGCTGGGTCTCCATCACCATGGACTTCAGCCATTCAAGGATGTCTCTGTTCTGGGTTTTACAGTCCCAGGAGAGGCTGTGCAGGGAGCTGGCTTTAATGTCAAAAAGACTCCAACTGTGAAAACTTGACCCTGTGCATAGTGGGGCCTGACGTTTCTGGCAGGCCCAGAAGTGCTGGCTTTTCTTCCCCAGCCCCCACACTGCCCTCTCCTCTGTTCCCTAAGTGGGGTGGGAGTGGGGGGCAGCCACCTCTATATTGGCTCTTCCTAGGGGACCTCTGAGTTCGGACAGCAGGCTTGTTCTTCCTTCCTGCATCTCTGGGGCCACAGCCACCGTCCCTCAGCTCTCTAAGGACGAGACCAAGAATGAACCTTTGAAACGTCTCAGGACTTTGACATTTTGTACACTGCAAGTTGACTTAATTTATTTATTTTGTGAAAAAGAAGAAACAGAAAATATACCTTATTATTTGCAGGGACTCAAAGCTGTACCAAAATAAAGACAAAATAATAATAATAGAACCCATTCACACACTCCCTACCCACAAGGACATCTGAAGACAATTCAGAATACAGGCAGGACGGTGAGAGAGAAACCAAGAGCCCCTGGTCTCAGTGGCCCCAAGGTATTGTGCAAGGGTTTTTGTTTTGTTTGTTTCTCTCTTGTAAGTTTGAAGATGCAGCATTGGGGCCCTTTGCCCAGGTGTTTGAGACAGGACACAACCCAAGTGTGTGTTGCCTTAAAATGTATCCCTCTGGGGCTCAACCGTGCTCTGGGAACCCTCAGGGTTTGGGGAAGGACAGTAGAGGGTAACTACTGACTTTACACACCATAGGACATGGTGGGTCATGCATTTGGGGTTTTCAACGGGGAGCTGGGATGGGGAAGGTGGTAAAGCTGGGGGTTGTGCCTCCTTTTCCAGCGAGACCAGCTCTGGTTTCTCTTCTGCTCTTGCTCGTCTGCCAGGAGCCTTCCCCTCCATAGCACCCACCACCTGGAGTCAGGGAGCAGCTGAGGCCTCACCACCACAGGCCGCCAGCCTCCTCAGCACAAGAGGCTCATTCAGCAAAGAGTGTTCATTCGTTTTACCTCAAGTTGGTGAAGACCTGTTTAGCTCAGCCTCTGTAAATAGTGCAGAGCATTCCAGGCCTGGGTGAGGCAGGGCAGGGTCCACCGCTTGCAGGCCCTTGCCACCACTGTCTATTCCTGGTGTCACCTCTGTGCCTTGTTTATAAACCTTGGAGTGGACAAGAGGCACTGGGAAGTCCTTGGGGACAGGATTCCGAGTCCTCAAAGGGAGGGAAAGAAGCAGTAGACACACAGCTCTGTGTAGCACATGCTGGAGGTTACCACCAGTTATCACTAAGGCTGAAAGCCAGCAAATTCTAGCCATTTGTCCCTTTATGTGATACACACTTGAAAATCATGAAATGAACAGGAAAAAAAAATTTTTTAATGTATTTATTCACTGTCTGCCAGGGCTCTCAGCCTGGGACCTACTGCCAGAGGCTAGTGTAATCGGGCAGCTGCTGACTAAACCCCAAAGCAGAACAAGGCACCCACCCAGCCCATCACAAGTGCATCTTCCCCTACCGTCCCTGCCATATGTCCCGTGACAGCAAGAGGTCATGCGATCCCAGTCCCAGAAGGCAGGCGCTTAGCTTAGATGGTGGAGAGAGACGCAAGCATCAGATCGTGGTCTGGACCTGACCCGTAGAGCCCCCTCCAACCCTGGGTGACCCCCTCCCACAGTCGAGCCTGTTTTAATTGACTGTCGGGCTGGTTTCCTGATAGACCCTGGACTGTGAAAGACAAGAGCAGACTGGGTGACTCTCCCCAAGGCAGTCCAGTTCTGTTGGGCACGACCCCTCCCACCCCACCTCCAAAGGCTGGAAGTGCAGGCAGGTCTCCGAAGGATGGGCTCCTGGGGTAGGGGGAGCTGAGAGGAGAGAGAATGGGGACAGATGCCTGAAGGAGCCAGTTTTCAAGGGAACTTCTGGTAAGGGTCTTGTCAAGCTAGCTGTATGAACTGAAAGAAGAAGTTTCTGCTGAAATCCAGGGACCCCTTAGTCAGGAGGTTTGCTAATGGCGATTCCTAGGCTCACGTTGTCTGTCTAGCCAAGCATGGCCCCAGCCCCTCCAGCCATGTGAACAACGGTTAGTAACTGCCCCACCTGGGAGCACGGGCCAGCTAGACAGGAAGGAGAAAGCCCAGGATTTTCTGAATGCTGGCCACGTCACCTCTCAACTGCCCACGGTTTCAGGAATAGCGGAAGCTACTCTTTACCTCAAAAGGATGAAGGAGCGTTGGCAACTTCAGATGTCTTAAGAACTTCAAGATCCTTTGGTCTCATCTTCTTTGTCACCCCATGACTGTGCATGGGGGACATGTTATGTGTTTCCAGGGGATACAGACAGCCATCATCACAGGTCTTGGCTCACATTACAGTTAAGGTACTATATTTGGGAAACAAAATGGCCCTCGTAGCCTGCTTCCTCTAGCCCTGGGCTGAAACTGGACACCCTCTGATGTCTCCATCTGTGATATTCCAGGCCAGGTTTGCCTGGCTCTCTTGTTCCTTCCTGGGTCCTGGAACTCTGTCTTCTTGCAAGAACTTGGCCCTGTGTCATGGCCACAGTGGTGCAGGCCCCCCCCCCCCCGCCGTGGCCATACGTGACCACAGTATGTACATATGTGCCCACACGTGTGCATGCATAGCATGTAATTCTGCTTGGCCTCTGGCACTGCCTGCATTGCTCCCAGACCCCTTGCCGTCCGTGTCCCAATATTCTTGCTGTGCCCGTGGCCACAGCTCATCTGCCGTCTCCTGGAAATGCAGGGACCGTCCTTCAGAGAGTGCTGGCAGCGCTGCCAGTCAGGGTCTGCTTTGCAGAACAGAATGTGAATCTTGGGGCCCATCACCTGATGGTGTACTTATTTAATTAAAAACAAAAACATGCAACGAGCAAGATCTGAAATGTGTCTCTGCTTTCCTTTGACCTTTTTCTCAGTATCAGTTAACAGAAAAATTAACAGTTGTAGCAGGGGGATGGCTGCCAGGGAAGCCCCTCCCCCTTCCTGAGTGGTAAAAAGCACAGGCAATTAGGATAAGTGCAGGATGCACAATGAACCTTTTTTTGGTTCCAAGATGTCAGAGCTGAGGGTGACTGCTTGGAGGAGATGGCTGTAAGAACGAGGTCAGGAGCAATACCTAGGCCTTGTGGGGCAAGGACAGGAGTGTTAAGCTTGGGGTCAGGGGACTTGGGGACAAGTCCCATGTGGTCATGTGTATTTGGGCAAGTCATTTCCCCATCTGCACTCTAGTATCCTTTAGAATGAGGGGTGTAATTACTGGTTTACAACCATTGTTCCAGAAAAAGCCCCTTTAAGAAGTTGCTGGGTAGTGCAAATGGTTAACACGCAGAGGCACCTCAGAAGAAAGGCCTGATGATCTGCTTCTGAAAAATCAGCCATGAAAACCCGATGGCGCACAGTTCTACTCTGACAGACATGGCGTCCCCATGGGTCTGAGCTGACGGACACAGGTGGCCGGAAGGGCAGGTAACATCCTTTCTCTCAACCAAAGCAACAGTGCGTGCGTTGATCTGCTTTGCACATTGAGATAAGCGCCTTCATTCATAACTTTAATGCATATTAGATTCCAGAGCTCCTGTCTCCCAATAGCATGTGGAGGGAATGGGCGTTCCCAGCGAGAAGCCAGTGCCTTCACTTTGGGGCTCAGGAAGACAGCCGGCTGGAGCTCTGTGGGTTTGGGGGACGGGGTGGGTGGGGAGGGGGAAGC